ATGTAAACAGGGTGAACTGTCTGCAGACCCACCTTCAGGATGAGAAACACTCGAATACGGCCTGCAATACCGCAGCCAGTGGTCATGCACACAACTCAGGGAACCGACCAGATCAATCCCGTTCTATGTTGCATGGAGGGGTAGGACCCCCTCAAAATAAAATAGAATCAGAGTAGCCAACGCTGAGTTCATAATAAAATCAGAGGGTACTAACGTTGAAAAAAAAATGGGCTCTCAAAATAGATCAGTGGGAGCCAACGTAGAAATTGTGATCAGGCAAGGCCATGATTTAGAAAATGATTTGAGGGTAGCCAAGGATTACAAGATCATCCAAAGTGACCAGAAGACCAAGACTCAAGAATCAACAGCATCAAAGACTACGATATTTTTCTCACGCAAAAGATGTCAAAGTTTCTTGTTGTGCAGATGCTACTGTACATCACCACTTCGCACCTCATATAGGCACCCTTATTTTGAGACATCCCCATTTCTTGGTTCCCCTGGAATACCCAACAAAGCTATGTAATAAAGTGTAATAAAATCATGGGCACCCAAGCTATGTGAAATCTGGCTGTGTTTGACTGGAAGGGTTTAGATGATTTTATTTGCTAATGGTGCTGGGTTCCTGTGCCTTTTGCAGATTCCTGATGCCATGTTTGTTGGAAAGAAAATGCAAAAATAGAATCAATGATGCTTATTCTTGGATGTTTTTCATTGTTGTGATTGGGCTAAATGATTCCATGAATCCAACATGCTAAAAAATAAAATCAGGGAGCCAACCCCTTTTTATTATATGTCACTGGTTTGGTGGCCAACCTCATTTTCACACTTCTTCCTCAAAATAAATCAGCCTACCCCAACCCCCCCTCACTCTTTATCCCACCTCTTCTAGTAATAAAATGGGGCCTCGAAAAAAGGGCTCTAGCCCGCCCTTTTCATTTTCTATCACGGCACGGCTATCCAGATCTGCAGTTCCAAAACAGCACCGCTAAGCATTCAGATATATTCGGAGACTGGCCCCGGCCCTCCCTTGGCTCAATTCCCAGGGGTCGCCGTGGAACTCTTGATCCAAAAAATGACACCAGGAGCGAACCAGCGGAGTGGAACAACAAGCCCACCGGCGCTTCAGGGGTCGTGCTCTGCCTAGTTGCTTCATGAGTGGGACCCCAAAGACAATGGGGGCCCGCCATCACCATGGGCATGAAGCCAAGTATGGGGATTCACTCGGTATATATATATATATACATCTGATTCTGTGTGTGAATCTTGAAGATCTTCAAGACATCCCAACCAAATGAGGCCATCATGTTCTGGGACCCAAATCCACCCACCGGACCACCCACAGCCCACCGCCGTCTTCAAGCACCGCCACAAGGGCCCTGGCATCCACCCCCTCCCCTCATCACTCGTCCTGCATCAACTGGAAGGCTGCCCCTCGATCTGCCGGCCGCTGCGGCAGCCGCGCGCGGAGCATCTCCCGCGAAGCCTGAAGAGTGGCTTCGCGCAGGCGGACTTAGACTGACCTGGAGGTTTGAGGTTTTCTGGTCTTTTGTCAGTTCGAGATAGTACAATACCGGTCGACTCTTAGATCCCGTCGGCTTGCCATGTTGGACATCGGCATGACAAGTGGAGTGGGACGAAGTGAATCATCTTGAGTTGTACATCTTCTCAATCATCCCAATGCGCACGGCCCAGGGGTCTGCAACCCATTCCGTCCACGTGGGTCGTATCGACGGCAGTCCACCGGACCGGGGACAGGACCGTGGAAGCCGTCTCTGTGAGGCACGGTCCAAGCTGCGAACATCAAGCAGGCTGGTTTTAGGAGGTGTTAAGTCCAATACCGATACCTCAAACAAATACAGTAGCGATACATTGTACATCATCTATACATCTGATCTACATGCATGTATACATGCACATTATATTCAAAAAGCCTGCAAACACGTGGAGCATGTCTCCCGCCTGATACGCTGTCTTTGCTTTCGCCATTTTGCCATGAAAAAGCGCTCAGCAATGGTGATGCCGGCCACTGATGTTATGAAGCTCCAACAAACCCACATGGCATTTCTCTGAATGGCCCACTATGGCTCTGTTTGTTGTAAAGGGACATGGTCCCACAGGGGTCAGCGGTGCTTTTAGAGAAATGATGAGGTTTCGTCAAACGTCATGATTCTCTGAAAGCTGTGGACCAAGTGCCCAGGTACCAAAAGATGACTCACATAATTCACCAACCCCCACAGCCCAAAGCCGTGTGGAAGTCACCAACCTCTTGCTGCTTCGAATGCGGTTTGAGCGGTTTGAGTTCTGTTTTCCATTTACCAGGGTCGGATGATTAGGGGACCTGGATGGCCATGAACCCAACATGTTTAAACTAGATTATTCTCGTGAAGGCCCTTGATAAATTTCTCCAAATTACAAGAGACACAGTGTCCAAGTGCTTCTAGTACATCTTCAAAGGGGTTTGACTATTCTATCAATCTTGGCGGCACGATAAGCTGATCCAAGGAAACATTGAAGCCAAAACAACATCAGGTCATCTTGACAATGCAACCTTCACCCAGCGAATTTCTTGAACAAGTTGATTAGGGAGGTCCTTGTATGTCTCTGCATGACTGAAGTCTTCCACAAAATAGTCTTCAGTATTCAATCTGATGACTTTGGCTTATGTTTTCACAACATGTTACAGTATAGTATAGCGCTCCGGTGAAAGAACTGGCGCCCTCCTTTTGCTTTCAGAGTGGGCGGCTTGGACAATGCACACCTCCTTCGAGCCTCTCATACCACTAGGACAATGTGCCTTCCACATGACCAAGGTATACCAAGGTCTTCCTTTTCATGAAAAAGGGGCGTTAACATCACCAAACAAAAGTTTGAAGCAAGTTTGATGATGTGGTCTTCCTTTTCAAGGCCGTTCAAGGTCTTCCTTACAAAAATTGTATCAACATCTTCCACATCACAAGTGGCTTTCGGTTGACGTTGACGGACACAGGGTCGCGGGTCCTGCGGGTCCCGCGGATCCCTCGAACTGGCCACCCTGAATTCCGAGCCCCACCTTATGCCCAATAACCATGCAATAACTTTCAAAACAATCGAAAACAAAGACCCGCTGAAAGTCAACAAGCACATCAACAGGGCTCACGGTCCAGGCATCATTCTCTCCCTCTCTCTCTCTCCCTCCCTCTCTCCTCTCCCTCTACGGGCCCGAAATGCTTCTCCCTGCCCAAGCGTCAAGCTGATGTCCGCACCCAGGAAGAAATCGTTCATCTGCCGACAGCTCTTCCACTGCGAGCTCTTGGCGCACTTCTGCCCAGCAAAGAACGAATGAGAATAACCGGGCAGTTGGGGAAGGAGTGGAGAGTGGGCGCCTACTGGAAGTTTGCAACCTCGCTCGTTGTCTCACATCAAGTGAGAATAGACACTGAGACTGAGACTGAACCAGCAACAAAAAACATGTCTGTCTGCCCAACTTTCTTTGGGAAGTGCCCAAGAACTGATCCCAAGGATTCCGATGAACGCATTTGCTCTTGAAAGCAAATACATGAAGAGTTAAAACGCCAAAAAGTGCTTGGATAAGACCATTGACCAAACTCTACCAAAATTGTCGATCACATTGATCAAGCTTACCAGCACCTTTCAAAACATAGAAGCATTTACTTGCATGATCTTGCATGTGGCTAATTACAGACACTGCAGGTCTGGGTACAGGCTTCGCAGTAGATAAATAGTTAGCGCGAGAAACCCATATAGTTTTTTCACCAAACTGGGTGTCTCGCGTCCCAAAAAGGATCGTTTTCCGGGTTGGGCTGCTCCTGGTCATCCGTACTTGGGTTTCATGCATGCGCCTCGCGTCTCTGATTCGATGAGTCGTTAGAAAGGTGGTACCAGTACTTTTCTTCCCTTTCTCTGGTGGTGGCTGCCTCTTTCTCTTAGTCTTTCGAGCGAGTTGGGGGCATTCGGTTACCAACTCCGGCACCCTGTGGGCAAGGATTGTTCTGGAACGTAGAGGAGGTGGTGCTGCAGCAGCCTCCAGTATAAACAGAAACCCTTTCCGAATCTGGTGAACTCATGTGGGGTATAACAGTGGATGGTGATGGTTAACAAACACCCTTCCCCAAAATAGTCCTTTTCTTTACACGCTGTTACTGGGAATTGGACACGCCCTAAACGAATGAAGGAGGAGTAAAGAACAAAATGGGTGCAGTCCAGTAGAAATTGGGACCCCGAAACTCCCCGAAGCCTGTTTCATTCCTTTACTCCACATATTCAGTGGGGCAACCTACTTCCAAACGAGAAAACAACAGGAAACCGGAACTGCAACAGCATCACTCAGCAAACTGTCAAAGAAAAACGCATCACTTGGCCAAAACGCTGCTCACTTCGCACCTTTTTTGAGCAACCGCCAAGGCGGTCTCGTCCGCCTCGGTGCTGACGACCGCCCACCAGTGTGGCGTCGGGCGTCGGGACGAGGCGAATTCTGTACTGTACACCTTGTTGTGGCGGACCTGGCGCTCTGCGGATAGGACCGGAGAGGCACAGAAATGAGACATGGTCTTTTTAGAGTCTTCCAGTGCGCAAGCTTGCGCAGATCAGAATGGAATCCATGGATGGAAAGAGTTTTTGGAGTGAGGAAAGAATGGCACGCCGCATTCATCTTCAGCGGGTTCTGGATTTTTCAAATGAGTGGCCCATTAGAGGTTACTCCATAAATCACCCATTGTGGGTCTGGGTAGCCAGATGGTGGGACTGATCGACTTCCTTCGAGTGGGTTTTCGTGCAAATCCCCATGTGAATCACGACATGGGAACGATTGGAAACTCGGCCGCATGAAAGTGGCTGGCGGGGTAACGTGGTATAGAACTAAATGACACCGTACGTTCTAGGCTATAATGCCATACAGGGCAGCGTGTAAAAGATACAAAATCAACATCGCCCGTAGTAGAGCAACATCTTCTAAAAAGAGTGGGTATACACATGACATACGTACATAGACATGCTGCCGTGCTTCACTCCTTCCTCACATGGCTATAAGCTGATACGCTCCGGCGAGTCAGGCTCGCTCAAGCACAGGCTTGGCTGCATGTGCCCTCTTAAGTGGATCTCTCCTGCGGGAGACAAGAACATGGGTCTTGCAGCTGAATCATCTCAAGAGTTATGGCAAAGTGAGTGGTTATCTTGACTGAGCAAATCTTGTAAGATACATGATACTTATGATACAGTATCCTCAACTCCCTATCCCCCAACTCAGTGCGCTCCATGCTGGACCTCGGAACGTGGATGGGACCCGTCGACTGTCGCATCTTTCGCCCCTGGCGGGTGGCGGATCTCCTGACTTGGCGCCGCACCTGAGGGCCATCGCACCGGGCACCGTGAGTCAGGAGGCGACGTTTGGGATACAATATGTATAATATACCAGGACCCTCCTGTCGGGGTGTCCAATGAACTACCCCACACTACCTATAGGCTTCCAGACAGGGCACCCCTTGGAGGGTCCTGGTATAATATCTATAATTATACATATACTCATCATATATCGCATATATTCCCTGATGTGTCAAAGACATTTTCTCAGGGGAGGGCAGTTTTCTGGATATCTCCCATATTCACCAACAAGGCAACCTAAAGCTATACACGAGTACCTATGATTTTATGAGTGTGTTCTTTCTGTGGAAAACATTGGAACCCTGTGAACCGTGAACCTGAAAAAGATGCTTCCCCAAAAGCTGTCAAAATGACATGCAATCTGTGACGCAATGCAGGCGTCCAAGACGTATGACTTCGCCAATCCGACAACGTGTTGTCTGCACCAACGTGTTGTCCGCATCCATCATGACAGTCCTCAAATCCCCCTGCAAAAAAACAGTTTCATGCATCTCCATGCATCTGCAGAAAAATAAGCCAGAAACATGATGCACCTCCATACATCTCGTTCTCCCTATCAGGGCTTTGATTCATCAACACTTAGTCTTCTCTTGTCCGCCTAGGCGCTGATGATACGTGGCCTGGACATGAACCATTTGGCCCTCGATGAAGAGCCAGCCCTTCACCTACGAACACGGGGCATGAGTTACATTGCACAAGCCATGCGGGACGCACATGGCAATGCAACACGCGCTTCTCAAAAACATTTGCAACGATCAAACATGATCAAACTACAAATCCAGCAATTTCTCAGTCCTGCTGGTGTCAGTGCTCACTGCTTCTTTTAGATGTACCGCTTGCCAGACGCCCCACATCGGCACCCGCGGCCTCTATGTCGAGGCGTTCCGCGTTTTGCTCGTGCCATCGAAGTTCACCGTGCTCACAGGTGTTCCTTGGCAAGGCGTGAGGGTTTTGGCGGTGCGGTGCAAAAACCTCCACCCTCACCTGGCGCCCCAAAAGACTGAGTGAATGACCCTTACAGCGTATGGGCTGTTGGCATGCTCATCACATGCCCTCACCTTTCTGAGATGCTCATCAGTCTTTCTGATCGTTCTCCCGGTCGGATCGTGAAAATGACCGAGTTCCGTTTCATCGCACAGTGAGACTCCGCACAACTCCATCGCAGGACCTCTGTCCGTGTGCGTCTTCGGATGTCTTCGGGTAGCTGACTCGGCTTGACTGAGCTTCACCTCTTTGAACCACCCTCAAGCACCCCACCCCACTACTGACTGCATAGTCAGGAGTGAAGGAATGGAACCCGGGGTATCCATTAGTGGGGGGTCATTCCCTGATTCTCTCCTATAAGCACGAGTCAGGTTGGTCAGAACATACGACAAGCCCTCGCCTGGATCGGGGCATGCGACAGATCAATACGATCTCCGCGATCTCCGGGTCTGTTTCTTTCAATGGGTGGGAGAAGGAGGTCTCCCCCCCCCTCCTTTGCTTTACGCACGAAGGAAACATTTTTGGATATTCTTTGGATTGGATTGGCGTGAAATAGGTAGTACGGTAGTACGAACTTCAGAAATCCTCAAGTTTGGAGGTTCACCAAACATCTTCGAATTGAGCCCGGGTTCGTGCGTTCTTAAGTTCACTTCTATACCAAAAGTCTCTATAGAAGAGTCTAGACATTTAGTCTACAGACCAATTCTGCTGGCCCTGTTTCGATCACGCAGCGTCTTCGCCCCTAAACCCGAAGCGACCCTTGCGTCTGGGCCTCCCTTCTGAGACGCCCATGCTTGGTTGAGACATGGAACATGGTTTCTGGACGATTGGGGTGTTGTTTGATGGTCCAGTGACATGTTGGAGGATGTTGGAGGATGGAGGATTTGGGGTGTTGTTTGAAAGGATTCCATTTCTGGATGATTCTGAAAAAAAGGATCCGGTGATTCCCTTGGATCTAGGGCTGACTCAAGCCGCCGATTCCAGCTGTTCAGGGGACCACAAATGATTCATCATGATTCACATGAGTCCATGTCAAGAAAGCACCACTCTCTCCCCAAGCTGCTCAACTAAAAAAGCGACCAAACTCTCACAAAACCAAACAATGAAAAGCAGTTTAATTATTTTAATGTGGGTTCATGCTGCAGTTCTTTAACATCTTTCAATGTACCAAGGTGATTTGAAGGCCAGAGTACATCATCACACTCATGCCAAGCTGCTAAATATTCACCAACCATCTGGCCAGCCCTTTTAGGCCAAAATCGTTTCCCCGCCCTGGATTGCCTGAAAATCAACACCTAGCCACCCAACCAAGATCAAAACTGTCAAGTGTCATGCGCAACTTCCCCTTCACACTGGACTCGATGATATCGCTCGCCGCCGGCCTGGCGCGAGCAAGACCCGTCGGTCGTGCGTTGAAACGACGTGTCCAGGGGATGCACGACACCGCCCCCAGCACCGTGTTGGCCTCGTCTGAGCAACTCGGTACAGGTATGACCCGAAGCAATTGATGTATGGCATATTATGGCATCTATGCCTACATGTTGGAGTGGTTTGGAGGGATTCATGTCAGTATGCCAGTGTAGTACCCATGAACAGCCTTTTCAACAAGGGGGGGCGTGCGAGTAGGCACTGGACCTGTTGGTGTTCTCTGCTCCTAGGTCCTAGCTGTCGTTTCGTCGTTTCATTTCTGCATATTTCTGCACATAGGCCTAACATGGCCTAATCCCTCAATAGACAAAACGTTCAACAAACACATGGACTTGCTGATAAACACTTAGGGTCGTCGTTCAAAATAAACAGGGTCTTGATTGATTTCAAGAATAAGAATGTCAAAGTCCCCCCCAAAAAAGTAATGCACATCCAACCAGCAACTCCAAAACTGCAAGCCTCACGTCATGTCTTAGCCTCGGATCCGCCTTCGCAGTGTCGGGATACGACGCGTCAGGACCGAAGCACACCTCCAACTCTTGCCGTTCAGCTGGCCATCGGCGAACACCTCCAAGGCATACCTGATTGCGTCCAGCAGGTGCAGGGAGTGAAGGGATTCTCCCAACGGGGGGCAAACAGGTCCAGAATCTTCCAGACATGGTCCAAACCTCCTTAGGCATCCATAGCTCAAGGTTTCAGATGCATAAACTTCCAAGGGATCCACTCTGCACAACCGACTGATTGCTTCATGAATTCCATTTCATCCATGTCCGTGGTCGTCGTGGGGGCTCCGAGCTCTGTGAGCCGTGAGCTGATGCGGTGCTCCGACATGCTGCGACCGATGCTGGAGAGCAGTCGTGGGCCCAATGGAGGAGTCTCCAAAAAGGGAAATTCGAGTCTGCACCAGTTTTCGGGTGGTTATTGGACAGGGCCCCAACCAACCACCCTTTGTGCGGCGCTGGCTTTGTCTTTTTATCACCTGTTGTTAAATGGTATGACTAGGACACAACCCTCGACCAACGGACCGACAAAGCCCGCTTCCCGAAAAAAGAAGGCCATGGCCATGCCCGAGTGCGGCAAAACAATGAAAACAAAAACATAAAACACAATTTTAAAAAAAATCGGCTCGATCCGCAATGAAGTGGTCGCTCTGCAGTGCTGCAAGCGTTTTCTTTGGATCTCGAGGGTTGAAAATCTCGATGGCACTGGCACCTATAGAATAACTGGTGAACCACTGCAACAACTACTGAAACAGTCCATTCATGAGAAGCAGCATGAACCAGCCAATCAGCTTTTGACTTTAGACTGCATGACACAAAATGTCTGGGATCCTTCCAAAGGCCGGCGAAATTCAGCGCGAATTCTCCGCCACGGCGCCTGATGCGGCGGCCACTGGAAGACCTCATGAGCTCTGGTTGTGGCGGCTCGGCGGCCTCGACCAAGGTGCCGATCAGCTCCAACCTTGGCGCAACGAAGGCCAGAACCGTGGACCGTGGACAGTTCCTCTAGTGATACTACACTGGTTTTGGAAAAGGAAGGTCTGAAGGAAAAGCACATGTTGCACCCAAACACCATATTAACACTTCAGGAAGGTCCTGCGGGCAGATGGTTTCGAAGGAAATCCCTGTGGATTGTCCTATCGAATATCCTGTGAGTGTCACGATCGATCTTCTGGGACTTCTGACTGCGTGTTTCACGCCACGCCCTCGCGGGCTGATCTCCAAAAAGCGGTCGACCTTGACATCGCTGGATGCTGATTTTGGGACTTCTGACTGGGTGGGATTGATCGACACCAAGTCGGAGTCCCATCGTCACCATCCACAAGTACAGAAAGAACAGCTCGATGGTTAACAAGCTCCTAGTCGCTGGTCTTCCGCGTCTGTCCTTTCGTCTTCTCCTTCGTCTTCGGAACTGCCCAGCACGGGCGGATGAGTTTGGGGGGGCACCTGGTGAGGTGGCTCGTTCCAGCCAGTTCCGGGATGCGTGAGAAAGGCTCAACCAATTGGAGCCCAGCACGGTTTCTTCCTGGTGAGACCCAGTGCGTGTCAACACATCAAAACGCAAAACCAGAATACGAGCAAATATGCGCCATATATGCTATATAATTGGTGTTGTGTTAGCTTGGGATACTCCACCTTGCAATCCCATTGAATGAAGCTAAGTGGTGCCCCCGTCCAAAGGATACCATCTCTCTCATTTGGTTGATCCCAGGATGTCAGTTAGATATAGTCAGGTAACAAGATGGTTCAACAAAAAAACCAAACTGCTTCCCCAGGACCTTACAGTAGGATTCTCACCCCAAACCTTTCCCAGGAGACCCTTCACCAGGAGTCACCAGAGCTCGGCGGTGCCGTTCCGCTTCCGCGAGCGAAGGAGATTCTAAAGATCTTTAATGGTGAATCCTCTTAGATGAATAAACCGCCCCATTGGAAGAGGATGACCAATTCAAGCGAGGGGGGGTTATTCATCAAGAGTCTACGTTTAAAGATGTTTGAACCATTTTTGTCAGATCCAACTGTCATGCTTGTAAGGGAGAACAACAATTCAATTAGAGGTCTTGGGGTGAAAAAGATCCGACTCCGATCTCCTAGATCCTGGATCCACCCTCCAGCCGCCTCAAACCATCTCCGAGCAGCTGAAATGGAGGCAATGGAAAGGCTGCACCCTCTTCCTGTCGGTTTGGCCACAGCCGCTGTGGGACCCGGATCCCACCCGGCCCCCGGTGACCTCCGATGCGGCCCGGACCGACCTCGGAGCCTCGCGGGCCCGGACCGACCGTAGGAGTCCGGCTCCGTGGGGCCGCATCACATGGAATATCCCTATCCTGAGCTGCAAACTCCCGTGGCTTAGACGTTGATAAAGGTATACAATCGTATTTACATATCTCATTTTTCAGGACTCTGTACCTGAAGTGATGTTCCAACACTTGAGTGTGATCTTGTTATCTCCGACTAGCCAACGCGTCTTTGCAGGCTATACATCGCCCATCATCTCCCACACAGATGCACAAGGCCGTGTTGTTGATGTTGGTTGCTCCAAGAACCCTCCATGATCCATGATCCTCATTACATCACAGCTCCGCTATGCTCCGCTTCCCTCGGCTCCCCCCCCCAGCACCGTCCTCTTGCCACCGGAGCCTCCACGCACCTGATGGTTGCACCGTTCAATGAATGGTCCATCTGAACGGCAACAGCGAAATCCGCATACATCACCGATGTGTGTTCAAGGCGAAATCCCGCATGGGGCGGGCAAACACGAAAGACCTGTTTTTCGCGTTTGACGGGGAGGTTGTGAAAGTTGGAGGTTTCAACTTGGCGTCGCCTTTCAAAGGCTGAGGCAAACAAAAAAAAAGAACCAAAATTGAAAACTCCCAGGACCCTCCAAGGGGTGCCCTGTCTGGAAGCCTATATTGGTAGTGTGAGGTAGTTCATCGGATACCCCTTGGAGGGTCCTGGTCTGTGGTACCATTTCGACCCCATCGACAGCCAATGGCCTGGCCATTCTGGCCTGGCCATTCTGCCCAAGGCGCGGAACTCTTCAAAATCACTATGCATCTCTTCCCGCAGCAAGCACATGTAGGCCGCCAGCATGGCCAAGAGCACGAGAGCCACTAGGACGGCCAACAAGTATCCATCACCTCGGGACTTGTCCCTCGCGAAATCCGTCGTAAGCGGGGCCATGCTGGTGGACGGACTAACCATGAATAAAAAGATGGGAACCGAATGGAACCAACAGGCCCAGCAGTAAGATGTTGTAAGATGTTGTAAGGTTCGAAGGACCGAAGCTGTTGAGGACGATGAGTCGGTACTGCAGCGGACCGAGCCGTCTCCGAGGTCGCCTTTATGACTCCAAAGTATATCGAATCCATCTGTGTGAAGTGCGAGCCCGAGTGCTGTAACAGCATCTTCGGACACCAAAAAAAGCCACGTCGAACAGGGCTTGCTCATGCTTTATACCACTGGCTGTTTCGGCACATCTCACCTTCTGAATGGGAGCTCAGCCCCTCAGACCCTTGGCAAAGGATTGCAAAGGAGACTAATTTTGCGTGGTCTTGTTGTGTTGCCCATTCCCCCACCCCTCCTTCTGAGTTTCCCAGCTCACAAAAAACCAATGGTTCACTCAAAACCTGACCTCCAAATCGTTCAGGCGGCCGGCCAAGGCCCTTATCAGACATCCCTGAAGTCAATCATACATCCCCGGTCCGACCAAGCATTGGGAATTGGCCATCCGCGGTAGAAAAATAGACTCAACCAATTAAAATGTATACATGTATGAGATAAGCAGTGCAAACAATAAATATATAGATATTGCATGCTATGATTTGCTATGTGGATTCACACCAATATTAAAATCAAACTGTCGGCCATAGTTAATTCGCTTTACGCAGCTCCAAGCAGCTCCAAGGGTCTCCCACCACACTCGGCATGGATTCACTCGAAAGCGCCGGGCTGCAACCACTTGGGCCACAAAAAGTGCGCCAGCAAAGGGTCAAACAGCACTAGGAGCGACGTTGGAACCCAATGAAGATGGGCCGGCAAATGCTAATCACCATCAATCACCTGATTAGAAGACTATGCTCGCTTGCCAAATGGTGTCGAACATGCCGTGACTGACTGGGCCATGCCAATGAACGGCAGTGGCGGATTTCCGCCGTCCGTGCCACCCCGAACACTCTCGGTCCAAGCGATGGTTTCTCTTGGTATTTGCACGAAAAGAACGCCCAAAGACTTCTGTGCCACGCTGGCCCTTTCACCACCACCCATCACAGCCGGAAACCCTCTCCCCCGTGCCGTCCGATCTCTTCCCCCGGCGGCCGCGACCAGCGCGACGCGGTCGGTGGGCGCCTCTCGCTCGAAGGACTCCAGGGAGCCCACAATCGTATTGATGGTGCCCACGAGAATGAAGAGCGTCGAAAGGATCCTGCGGGCGATCCAGGACCCTATGCTCATTCGCCCATTCATGCTTCCGCGCCAGCATTTAGTTGGAAAATATATATATATAATTCTGTAATGAATTAGTCTAGAGCAACCCCTGTGAACACTGGGTGGTCGGACCGACTGCCACGATTCTTGTCTGACTCTGACTCTGACCTCCAGAAATCAAATCAACAAGCTCCCCGTGCTGCAACTGGAGCGAAAAACTGAACACAAGTGGCATAGATTAAGCATAGCCCATTATTATATACCAGTACCCCACAGCAAACTTACATGGAACCTGAGAATTGACCCGTGGAATTGCGGCTTTAGGGTTCTATGTTAATCTGCAGGAGTAACCATGGATGATGATGGTAATGGGACACACCCAGATCATCAAACTCTCCCCTAAGGCCAAACTTTGCCTGAAAGCGTTTGGTCTTTATCTTGGCAACTTGGCCTGCCGGAACTGACCGGAACGTGGCAATCCCGTATAGAAGGCCCATCACGTGCAAATTGTCAGAAATGTTCAGAAAGTGTACCTCTCAACGCCCTCTGCTCTCATCGGAGGCAGGAAGCCTGAGATTCCTGTGCTGGTGTGAAGGAAGAGCTCTATAAATGATACCCTACTTCTTCGATTGAAATGCACCAGTTGCCGGGAGGGGAATCTCTGGGGCCAAAAAGAACATGTCCAACATTTGCGGCTGCAGGCCGTTGCCCAAGGGCTGTGGCCAGCACATCTCACCCTACGGAACGCGCACGCGTCTCCGAACCCGAACTCGCCACCCGAACTCAGCGAGCATCCTGAGGAGGTAGTAAAAGTTGGGCCTCGGACCAGCGGCGCAAGGAAAAGCAGCTCGTGACAGCAAACGGTGGACGTCATGATAGTCATAGTTACGTACATAAGCCCTGCAATCTCCCCGACAGGCGCAGCTAAACAGCTTCTAAGGTCTTCTAAGAGTCTAAGATAAATATTCTTGATGGGGATTCACTGTTCAATCTGGTTTGTGATGCATGTTGCGGTGGGTAGGCAACTTTTGAACACCACCCACGATCGGCAAAACTCACTGAATGATCTTCCAGGAAATTGTCAGTCTGGATCAAGAGATGGACATGCATCCATGCATGGAATGTCTCAGTATGAATCAGCTCCACGCTCTAGTATCAACATTGATCAACTCTTCCCCTGAACCGTGCATGCGAAGGGCCATTGGCTACTTTCGATGCCATAACTTTCCGGCTCCCAGTCTTCCAAAAAGCGATCCACAATTCACAGAAATCGCACCAAGTGCGACCACAGATGACACTCACCCAGACCGTCACGAGTCATGAGCAATATGGAATTGAATGGAACGTGACATCTTCATCATGTGTCCTCCGCTTTTCATCCGTCCAATGTCAACCGACGCCGGTTGGCACGAAGGCGACCAACTCGCTTCACAAAACGCCCAGCCACAGGGAGCTTTTCAACTCCTTCTCGGAGAGCAAATGGGCATAGAGGAGCTTGAAGCCATGATTCTCCTAGCAAACCAAATCGAAGATCTCGGCGGATCAGGGGGCTCAGCAGCTTTCATGCTGCATATGAACAAACCTTCTTCATCCTGCGTCTGTTGCGAGGCACCCCAGGAGAGAACGGAGACGGCTCGCCGGTTTGCGTCGAACGGCATTCGACGGCAAACCGCCTTGAAGCGAAGCTGCCACCGATGCTCCGCCATTTGACTAATGTGCCACACCTGTGACCAGCGATCGCTGGGCACCGGGCGTAAGTGACACGCGAACCTTTGGGATCCTTTGGGTATATCCCATTCCCCTGTTACAGGATGATGGCGGACCGGCAGGTCTTTCCATCTCCAAGAGGCGTAAGAACGTGTACCGACGGGATTCAAAACCTGACCAATAAAACTGACCATTCATCACCTGTTCCAACACTTCACGCCAAAAGGTTCGATTCCATCCTTCAATCACTTCAAACACATGAAGTGAAAGCTCTGTTAACGTGTGTGAACATGTGCGATCCATTTGTTACAAGGATCTTGAGAACACGGACCAATTTGCAATCTCTGATGCAATTATTTGGTAAACATGTGAGGTTATCCACGCACCTCAAGCACTTGCGATTCCCCCTGCTGAGCTCCGCATCTGCGGCATTCCAATCAAATGGCTTCTGTAAATGATGGTCCTCCTATGGACCCTCAGCAGCTCAGTCCCCAAGTTGGCTGTTGTGGAAAAGGTCGCACGCCATGACCCTTCATCACCGCGCATGACCCTTCATCACCGATGACGCCGTGGGGGGGCAGCGTGGGCCATGAATTTCATTCATCAACCCCTCCCCCCTTAAAAGGGAAAAAACAAGTAAATAAAAAACTGTCACCCCATTGACCCCCCTGAAAAAAGTTGATCCCCCCATTGATGACCATGTCCTCCTCTTCAAACCGATCAAGATCCCCCCAGGCATCGCTCGGACCTTCTCCTCCTCGCCCGACTCCAGCGCCGCGACTCCGGCCTCGCGGCGAATGTCGTCGAAGTGTGTTACAGGAAATGGAAGAAAAAACAGCATGTAGACAGCTAATGAAGAAATACATGAACCATAAACCATTTGGAGAGGTTTTGCACTTCAAGAATGTGTCTATTTTTTAATGTATGAGACAATTGTTCAATAGGGTTCCTTCAAAAGAGTTGGCTTCCAAGTGAGTGGTGATCTGGGATTCGACCTCCGGACTTTCTACTTACTTGGTACGAGTTGGAGCTCCCCATCGTCGACTCGTAGGGATCGTCAAAGGAGCCGAAACCCGAAACCCGCGGGTTTCAGGACATCCATGTGATCTCCATTGATGTTCATAGCATGTGGCACATGTCAACATGTCAACATGACACAGTATCGTTTCTTTTTCTGATCTTTCAGTTTCTGAGACCGTCCAGGTTCTGCTTCAGGATGCCTCCAACGGATCACGTCGACAATTCGGCCACATCGTCCGAGCTTTCGCGCAAACATGCGGCGTCGACGCCGTTCGGGTTGTGCGCCCCAAACCGCAGGCTCTCCTCGCCTCTGTGGCGTTCGCCCCCTCTTTTGGTGCCGTGGCGCCCTCAGTGATGGATGGTGCCTGGTGCGCCAGGCGCGAAAAAGTGGAGGGCAAACTTCTCTGAATGGTAGCGACCTGGTGATCCATTTGCTGAGCCTCGCAGCCTGATCAATGACAATGCAGACACAAAAATGATACGAGCATGCGCACTATGGCGGGGGGGGGCACGTCAAAAAGAAATGAATCTACCAGAAGTCACAAAGGGGCGGTTTTTAAGTCCCTAAGTGAGTGGATCATGGGCACCCCTATCCTCCAAGCTCGGCACCCCTTTGTGACTGCTGGTAATTGATTGCAGTTGCAACTAGACGTGTTGATAGCACCAGGAGTGCCAAGGGGAGTTGTAAATTTAGTTCCTGTCAGTGAGTGGGAAGGTGCTCCCCGCCGCAGCCCCTCCAATCCAACTGTGGGTCGACGGTCTCGTGTTCACCTCTGATCTGAGTCATATCTCCGGTGCGGGGCCGCAAGCCATGCCATGTCACCTCATGCGATACTCCTTTGAATCATCATAGTTAGGTGGATGGGAAAACGGCCCTTATTCCGGATGACCGTTGTTCGACTATACAAAAAAGATGTTTGTCCACTTGCATGATTCTGTCAAGGAGTGTAGAATCTTTGATTACATTTCAACCCACTATATATGGAGAGGTTTCACCATCCATGTCTGTGTGATTGCTAAATCAATATAATTCTACATTTGAATCCCAGGCACGGCAGCCATAGCAATGCCGGCAGAATGGATCTTGCTGAGTCTGATCCAGAGTCCCGGAGACCATGAACTGTAAGTCACCTACATTCGTCATCCGTTATTTGGTTTCCCGGGCCCCTCCTACCTTCTCCCCTCAAAATCATGACAATCTAAACAAAACCTGGCCTAAAGGTTATTTTCATCCAAGCCATGGCAATCCCGGAAACCATTTTACTGACACTGTGGCATGGTCCCTCAAGTGATTTCGTCACCATCCCTGACTAAAGCAGCTCTGGGCGCATCCGTCAAGGGCGCTGCCGGAGGAGTGTCCTGGCATGTGCCCAGACAACGTGGCAGCCCAGGATCAAGGGATCGGGCAGTGGGAGGAGTCAAACCCCAAGTGTTAACATAAGTATACATAATTTACCTAATTAACTATACTAGGTTTGGGTTTTTAATGCTGCATGTTCAACTACGACCATACGACCGTCTACAAAAACCTCTCAGATGGTTATCTCACCCTCGTCTGGTCGGACCCTCCGACCCCGAGTTCGAAGCCCGGCCCGGCGGGACCGAAGTGGGGGGCCAAAGGATAGACCGATGTGGTGAGTGATGTCAAAGGTTCTCAAAGGCATCTGACATTGGCACACCAACCCGTGTTCCACATGACATGGTCACTTCTGCCACTCCTGCCACTCCCCCCCCCGGGTGCTCACGTGAGTGCGAAGGTGCCTGCAGTGCTCTGGGTGCTGACGACGCCTGTCATGGGTGGATGGTGGACGGATGGG